CATTCCATTTTAAGAATGCTATCAGAAGTTTTTACCAGTTGAAGGGTTTGGAGTTTTTTCCAGTTTGAGTGGTTACAAATTAATCTGCTATACACATTTGGTTTTATGTGTGTGTAAACTTAAGTTTTGCACTCTATTTGGCTAAAAACCTAGGAGTGAGAGCTTCCATTTCTACAAGATGGTGTAACTCATTTTTTCCCTTTTCCTCTCCTCTGAATACAAACTAAATACTTTGGAAATAATTCAACAGACAGTCATAAAAGGACTCTGAAATGTGGAGAGATGGCAGGTTATCTAGAAATCTCAAGATTTTTGAAAGTGCACCTTGATGAATTCCCTGGGTTTTGTTTTTTCTGCCATGCATCTCAGACTGGACATCAGATATGTCTGCAACCTAGTATCAACAACAGGCATAGAGAAAGCAAAACAAAACAAAGTGAAACGCATGCTCCCTCTGGTCAAAATAAGAGATGCCCAGCAGAGACTCAGCAGGGAGATCCATACCTAGTGGCAACAGCAGATTGAATTGCTTACAGAAGTGACTCCAGTACCCATATAAACCAACCCATCCCATGCCCTACACTCACTGGTAGCAGTAGGCATAATCTGCTCACAGCAACAGTGGGACCCAGGCTTATCCACCCCCACCACACCCCATATCTGCTAGCAGTAATGATGCAGTCTGCCCTCAGCAGCCGTAACAGCACAACCCACTGCATTTCTCATCTGCTAACAGAAGCAGGCTTGATCTGCCCACAACAGTAGCAGCAGAACCTGAGTAGGCCAACGCATCTCCCACCACAAACTAGATGGGAAGGGGGAGTGGGGTCCTCCTGTACCCCCACTCCAAAAGGCCTAGATTCTCCTCACTTTCCACTCAGTGGCAGACCCAGCAGCCCCAGACCCAGCAGCCCCTGGCTGTCCGTCCAGCCACAGAAGATCCAGAACAGGAGCCTTCTGGCCCCCTACACAACAGCAAAGTGCAGTCCAATAGGCCCTTCTCTTATCCAGTAGCTCCAACAGAGACAGAGTAGGAAACCCGTTTGGCGTCAGCTGGTCAGAGAACAGGCCAGGGTTATTGCTCTCTACTTCAGAAGTCCGACATCCTAAACCCTCCATCTGGTGACAAGAAGGAACCTAGGAAAATGCCTTCCACCTTGCAGGTGGCATCAGAAGGGATCCAGTGGAACCAAAAGAATAAAGCAGATCAGAACTGCATTGAAGGAACCCAGAAAAGAAAGTTCTCATTGGAAATAGGGTCCACAAAAGTAGGCCAGCATCTACATGCTAAACCTAAACAGAATGCTGCCTTCTAGAACAGAAGATTTTAGTAGTATCAAGAGCCTCCTAATATAATATCCAAAATGCCCATCATACAGTAGAAAATCACTCACCATACCAAGAAACAGTAAAAGTATGATGTTAGATATAGATTTCCTTTTATCAAGTTAAGGTAGTTCCCTGTATTCCTAACTCACTAAGAATTTCCTTTTTATCATGAATAGGTGTTGGATTTTGTCAAATGGTTTTTCTGACAATATTAGATAGTCATATGATTTCTCTTCTTTGGCCTGTTGATATGGTGGATCAATTAATTTTTGAATGTTTAAACTGGCCTTGGGACTTCCCTGGTGGTCCAGTGGTTAAGAATCTGCCTTCCAGTGCAGGGGACACGGATTTGATCCCTGGTCAGGGAATCAAGATCCTACATGCTAGGGGACATCTAAGCCTGCCACACCGCAGCCGCTAAGCCTGTACCACAACTACGGAGCCCGTGCACTCTGGAGCCCGCACCGCAACTATAGAGGAAAGCCAACATGCCACAACTAGAGAGAAGCCCTTGTGCCACAATAAAGAACCCATGTGCTGCACTGAAAGATCCCACATGCCACAGCTAGGACCCAGTGCAGCCTAATTAATCAACTAATTATTTAAAAAGCCTCCTTCACTCTCTAAAAATAATAAATAAAAGCGAAGAAGCTTTGCCTACCTGATATAAATTTCTACTTGGTCCTGGTGCATAATTTCTTTCGTACATTTTTGGGTTTGATGCGCTAACATTTTGTTGTGGATTTTTACGTCTATGTGCCACCAGCAATGTACAAGGATTCCCTCATCTCCACATCCTCATCAACACTTACCATTTATGTTTTTGATAATAGCCATTCTAACAAGTATGAGGTTATATTTCACATGGTTTTGATTTGCATTTCCATTATTAGTGGTGTTGAGTACTTTTTCATCTGTTAGCCATTTGTATGTCTTCTTTGGAAAGATATCTAATCAGGTCACTGGCCATTTTTAAATCAGGTTTACTTTTGTTGTTTGTTTTTGCTTTTCTTCACTATTGGATTATTTGAGTTCCTTGTATATTTTAGCTATTAACCCCTTATCAGACACAAGTTTTACAAATATTTTCTCTTGTTCTGTAAGGTGCTTTTTCACATTACTGATTGTTTCCTTTGCTGTGCAGAAGCTTTTTAATTTGCTATGTCTCACTTGGGTTTATTTTTGCTTTTGTTGCCTGTGCTTTTGATGTCACACACAAAAAAAAATTTGCCAAGACCAATGTCGAGCAATTTTTCCCTTCTTTTCTTCTAAAGGGGTTTTGTGGTTTTAGGTCTTACACCTAAATCTTTGATCCACTTTGAGCTGCTTGCATGTGATGTAAAAGAGTGGTTTGATTTCATTCTTTTGCATGTGGATATCCAGTTTTCCCACCATTTACTGAAAAAGACAATTCTTTATCAATAGTATTTTCTTGGCACCCTTGTCAAATATTACTTTACCATACATATATGTATGTGTTCATTACTGGACTCTCAATTCTGTCCCATTGGTTTATGTGTCTATTGTTTTTTTTCCCCAAATACGATGCTGCTCTGATTATTATGGCTTTGTAATATAATTTGTAATCAGGAAGTATGATGCCTCCAAATTTGTTCTTTTTTCTCAACAATACTTTGACTGGTTCAAGGTCTTTTATGGTTATATGCAAATTGTAGGATCATTTTTTTCTATTTATGTGAAAAATGCCATTGTAATTATGATAGGGACTGATCTGAGTCTATTGATTGCTTTGTGTGGTAAGGATATTTTAACAATATTAACTCTTCTGAGCCCTGAACATGGGATATCTTTCCATTTATTTATATCTTCTTCTATTCAGTTAGTTTTCAATATATAGATCTTTTACCTCCTTGGTTAAATGTATTACTAGGTATTTTATTGCCTTTGATACAGTTGTAAATGAGACTTAATTTCTTTTTCAAATAGATTATTTTTAGTATATAGAAATGCAACTGATTTTTGTACATTGATTTTTGTATCCTGCAACTTTACTGAATTTGTTTATTAGTTCAGTTTACTGGTAGAATCTCTACAGTCTAGTTGAAGGCATAATTCCAGAAACTTGGACAGTAAATTGTGGCTAATTTTGGTTAATTTCAGCTCTTATCATGGTACAGGCTATCCATCCCTGACCCCCCTGACTCCCAAGACTCTAGCAGGCAGCCGTAAATGAGTTCTAGAGAAATGTATATGAAGCTTACAGAATCCAAGGTGAGCAATAAAGGGTCTGTGCTTCAATATTGGGGATCTGTTCTCAGATTGCTGATGGCTGCTTGTTATCACAGAGGTACAGAAACAGAGGCAGGGGCCACTGTTTCAAGTCCCACAGACAATTGTTGCAACACCCTTACCCTCCACCTGAAGCAACTTCCAGGGGATTTGAAGAGAACCTTTTCTTCCTCCTCCTCCTTTCTTTTTTTCCCTTTTTGGAAGCCAGACACTTAAGGACTAGGACACTTAAAAGCAACCACATATAAAGGAGAATTTTAAAAGTTACCATGTATGCCCAGGGAAATGTGCAGGCCCAGAAAAATCCAAAGATCACCTTAAGTTTACACCTTATTTTGATCCTCATCACAGAGACTCCCTACAACAAACCAACAAAAACAGCAAAATCAGGGAAAGAGTGAAAATCTGACCTCTAGAAGAAGCACATTGTGAGATTTAAATGTCCAACCTTTTTTTAACATTAATTTCATGTATTTATTTGGTGCACTGGGTCTTAGCTGTGGCATGCAAACTCTTAGTTGTGGCATGTGGGATCTAGTTTCCTAACCAGGGATTGAGCCCAGGCTCCCTGCTTTGGGAGCATGGAGTCTTAGCCACCAGGCCATCAAGGAAGTTCCCTCAACTGTCCAATCTTCAACAAGAACAACAACAACAACAACAACAAAAAACTACAAGGCATACAAAGAAAGGGAAAATTATGGCCCATTCAAAGGGGAAAAGTAAATCAACAGAAATAGTCCCTGAGAAAGGCAAGAGGGTAGCATTAATATAAAAACACTGTAAACAATTGAAACTTGAAGACCTTATGCTAAGTGAGATAATCACAAAAGGACAAATATTGTATGATTCCACTCATACAAGGCATTTAGAGTAATCGAATTCATAGAGACAAAAAAGTAGAATGGTGGTTGCCAGAAGTTGTGGGTACAGAATTTCAACTTTGCAGATAAAGTTCTGGAGACAGTTGTGATAGTTATACAACAATGTGAATATGCTTAATGTTACTGAGCTCTTTACTCAAAAATGGTTAAAATGGGAAATTTTATGTTGTATATATTTACCACCATTTTTAAAGACTTTGGGGAAAAGAGCAAAAGATGGCACAGGCCTCCATGTTGCACGATTACATTGAGGCACCATTTACATAGACCACACACTGAAGGAGCCTCCCTGGAGCTGGCCGACTTGGCAGCCCTGCAACCTCAACTCTCCTAGCCATGGCAGCAGACATTGCTAATCAACCACAGACCCCACTCATCCAGCACCAGACTCTTAAAATCCTCTACACCGAGCCCCAGGCAACCCCTGTCACTTCCTCAGAGCTGATTTATGAGATGTCAAGTATTTGCCATCCTTAGCCTAATGACCTTCTTGAGGTGTGTCTGACAAAAGAGCTGGGGACACAGATATAACAGACCTGGTCATTCCTTTATTGGAAGTGGTATGCATTGCTGTACTCTACAAGCTTGTGAACCCAAAGAGATTTCAAGTTGAAGATTCAGTTGGTTTTCTTTGAGGTCGTAATGGCCCTGAATGAAACCACGGGTATGACAACTGTGCCAGCGCCAATAGACCTGGATGATGCGGACAGCATGGAGCAAACGTAAATAACGAAGGCGTATGCACCACATGCGGACCCAGGATTGTAGCTTGACCACTGCCCATTCTTGCCTTGCGAAGGCGTCTAGGGCCACCCGTCGCCTGTTCTCCATCAGCAGCACCAGTTTCTGTTTCCACCAGCACTGAATGATCCATGCTCTGAGAGCCGCATGCAGCAGCGTCCTGCGCACCAGAGTGCCCCGCCACCAGGCTTGAATGGAAATAATCGCCTTGTTTTCTTCAGTTATCACAATTCTTACTTTGGGGCCTTAAAAGAGAAAACAGGGGACACTTAAGAAACTCATACATTTTGGCCCTAAGTTGTGGCAGGAAGAGGCCTATTTCTCTGACGTTCAGGAGATCTGTTGTGAGCAGCAGCTGCACCTCGAGATCAACTAAGTGTCCTGCTTCTGCCACTCTCCGGTTCATGGACATGGGTACCTCATCTTGCCCTCTGGGTCTCAGGGTCTCTGTCTGTAAAATGGAGGTACACCTGCACTTGCAGCCTCGCCCAGTTTTGCATGAACCTGGTTGATCATCTACAGCAGGAACACCCTGATCTAAAAGTGAAAGAGATAGGCATTTCACCTGGAGCTGACCACCTACCTGAGAGTCATGACTCTTCCCTTCAGTCACCTCTCATCTGCTGGAAGACTGGCATTTTTGCTCTCCCTGCCACTCACCTCTGACTTCAGGTTAAACCTGCCTGCTGCCTCCCTCTGCCTCACCAAAATGTTAAAAGATCCCTGCACTTCACATACTTTAAGCTCTTAACACCAGTTAACACCTGCATCATTACAAAGATACATGCACATATGTGCATGCACACACACACCCCAGTCTTCCTGCACCTCAGCCTTTGCATTGCCCCAACACAATCCTCACTTTGAGTCTCTCAACCCTGTGAGGCCTGGATTCACACACTTTGCCCTCCTCCTTAGCGCACACCTTGGCTAGACTCTCACCCTAAGGAAGAAATAGGGGGAAAAGACAGCCAAGGAGGAGTCAACGCCTCTCCATTTCCTAGTCTGTGTGGTGGCTATTCGTCCCAGTTTGCCTAGCATATCCTGGGTCTATGCCTGTTGTCCTGGTGTGATATTGCTAAGTGCCCCTTTCACTCCCTGAAGCATCTGTCTTTGGAAAATAAATTACATGGCCACAGACCTTTGAGTCACTCCACTGGGCCACAAGGACCAGAGATAATACAAGTCAAGGCTCTCCCCAACACAATATCCCAGATCCATCTACCCAGGGAGGGGTGGGAGGGCAGTGGCAGGGGTGTGAGTAGGGTGTTGGAACTGGAATCCCTTGCTTTCCTCTCCTTTGCTCCTTCAAGCTGTGTTCTATCAATGAGACTTCTTCATAACCTGTGATTATAATGTGGAAGGTTTGCTGTCCTGATCAGAGTTTAGAGAGAAAAATGTGAAAGTGAGGGTGCTCTCCCCACCACTAGATGCCAAGTCACCCACACACGAGGCTTCCTGGACTTTCCTAGGATCTCAGACATGAGAAGGGATCCCATCCTGAGGGAACTATGGGAGGTGTACCCAGCTCCAGAAAGCTTGGGTAGATCTACCTCATAAGACATTAAACGCCCATTGTTTGGGTTGGATAGTCAAACCCCATTAGATCTTAACTCTACTAAATTACCCATGGTTAGGGGCTAGATGTTCCCATCGCTTTCAGGTCTGCTGTCCAGCCAGTGCTCTGGCCGGAAGAGATGGAGGAAAGGAGAGAGCATGATGTCATAAGGGCACTTATGACTCAGGCACCAGAATGACTCCCAACAGCTGAGCCCCTTCTAAGGAAAACTTAAGAACCTGTCCTTTCTTTCCTACCTAAATGAACACAGTTCTGGTTACAAAGAAGAACACCTCAAATACTGACCCCCTGATGCAAAGGTATATAATGTTGCTCATTAAAGCCTGCCTGGTATTCGTTAAGAGGGTTTCAGTTCATTTATTTTTAAAATTTATTTTATTGACATAATTGATTTATCATGCTGTGTTAATTTCTGCTATACAGCAAAGTGGTTCAGTTATATATAATATATATACAGTCTTTTAAATATTCTTTTCCATTATGGATTATCATAGGATATAATATATAGTTCCCTGTGCTACACAGTAGGACCTTGTTGTTTATCCATGCTATACATAATAGTTTGTATCTGCTAATCCCAAGCTCCCAGTCCATCTCCCCACTCTTCCTCCTCTCTGGTAACCACAAGTTTGTTATCTATGTGAGTCTGTTTCTGTTCCATAGATAAGTTCACTTGTGTCATATTTTAGATTCTGCATATAAGTATCATATGGTATTTGTCTTTCTCTTTTTGACTTACTTCACTGAGTATGATAGAATTCAATTCATTTATTTTAATGGTTATTTTTGTTTGTTTGTTTGTTTGGCTGCGCCGCATGGTAGCTGTCGCACTTAGGATCTTTGATCTTCATTGCAGCATTCAGGATCTTTTAACTGTGGCTGGTGGGATCTGGTTCCCTGACCAGGGATGGAACCAGGCCCCTTGCTTTGGGAGTGTGGAGTCTAAGCCCGTGGACCACCAGGGCAGTCCTGTTTTCAATTCATTTAAACAATGGTATACCAAATAACAGTTAGAAGCAATGAGTGTGCTTTCTATGTACTCATATAGAAGAGTGTACAAGATTTAGCAAGATTAGCAAGTTCATCAAATCAAAATGAACTAAATAATAGCATAGATTTATACACATATTTTGTAAAGGTATTATTTTAAAAGGTGGTAGAAATTAGGAAGATATCCACAAAAATTAACAATGATCATCTCTGATGAGCATATCAGAGTTGGAGGAAGTAAACTGCCTTGCTGTAGCTAAGCTTCCTATGACTCACCCATCCGTAAGTCTCCTGGTTATCAGGTCCCTGGGAAAGCAAGAACCTCACAGGCCAGAAAACCTCTCAGACCCCTAGGACCAGCCAGGACACACACCTCAGGCTCAGGTGGCCTCAAGCACTCTTCTATCTTCTTCTTTTTTCCCTGAGGACATCAAGGTCTCAGTGAGGAGATGGGGGGTTGGTCAGACACTGCACAAGCAGGACCCCACTGCCTGTTGCTGGCCTCTGAAGACCCACTTGGCTCTAGTGAGGCCCTGGTGCCCTCAGGGTCCCAGCCCCAGGGGTCACTGAGAAGTGCATGGCAGTGTGAAGAGGGGGTGTGGAGGAAGTCGGTGTGGGGCTGGGGGAGAGCAGTTGAAGAGAAGAGGAGGAGGCCATTGAAAGCTGAAAGGGAGCGTCAGTGTGAAGTTAACAAATGGGAGAGTGGAAAGAACAAGAGTAAATTGGAGAACAGGGAAGTAGTGGAGTACAATGCGTGGGACAGTGAAGGTACAGGAAGCATCTGTTTGAAGATAAAGGTGTTGGCCAGACCCCTGGGAGACCCACATCAGTTTAATGCCCCCATTAGTCTGCCTCCATAGTCTAGCCCCTAGTCACCACTGTCCCTGATGACATTCACCCCACTTCACAGATAAGGAAACTGAGGTGCAGAGACCTTACAACTGATTAGGGAAGAGGCCAGGGACTGGGGTGTTGGTGGATGTGGTGACCCTAGAAGCAAGGAGGGTGTTGGGGTTTTGAATGCCACCAGGACCTGCTGAGACTCAAGCCAGTGGGCAGGGAGGAGCCTCCTCAGGGCCTGAGGAGCAGAGGGGTAACATCAGCCAAGGGGAGTTTTTGCAGGTGTGCTGGCTTGATCATGATGAGGGTACATCTCCTGGGGCTGGAGTAAGGGACATAGCACAGGAAACAAAACACAGGCACCCCTCAGGACCACTGTGGGTGACCCACAGAAGTACCAGCATTCTGGGCTCTCTCCCCATTCTCCTACCCTATCCCCACCATTCTCTGCCACCTCTACCACAGTTTCCTCCTAGAGGTTCTCAGTAGATCCCTTCCGGGAGGGGCAGAAAGAAATAAGGTGGAGTCAATGAGTGTCAATGGGATCAGCCCCTTGAATATTCTCCTAGCCGCAGAGCCTGAAGGAGAAGGAAAGCAGGTTTGCTGGTCCTAGGGGCCTCACAGAGGTCCCTGGTATTATATAAATGGGTCAGCAATTCAACCCTTCTCACAGAAGACATAAGAGACGTGGGTTTGATCCCTGGGTCAGGAAGGTCCCCTAGAGGAGGCATGGCAACCCACCCCAGTATTTTTGCCTCCAGAATCCCATGAACAGGGGAGCTTGGAGGGAGGGCTACAGTCCATGGGGTTGCAAAGAGCCAGACAAGGACTGAAGTGACTCAGCATGCACATTCGCACTCCTAATGTAATTATTGGTAGTAGTTTCGTGTATATACCTTTTCCCTTCTTTTTTAAAAATTTTGTAATTTTATATATTTATTTATGGCTGTGCTGGGTCTTCATTGCTGTGTGGGTTTTTCTTTAGTTGCGGTGGCTTCTCATTTTGGAGCACAGGCTCTAGCGCACTTGGGCTTCAGTAGTTGTGATGTAAGGGCTCTGTAGTTGCAACTCCTGGGGTCTAGAGCACCGTCACAGTAGGTGTGGTGCACGAGCCTAGTTGCTCCATAGCATGTGGAATCTTCCCGGACCACAGATCGAACCCATGTCTTCTGCACTGGCAAGCGGATTCTTTACCACTGAGCTACCAGGGAAGCCCCAAACATTTGCAATTGATTTTGATGGTAGGGAACCTTTGGTATTTTTAATTGGGCTAAACATGATTCCCCTCCCACTCTGACTGCCAGTTTTTAAGGTGTGTAATTGTAACTTTCTTTCCTTGTTCTTTTGCTAAGGCTGAATTTTTATGCTACTTGACATTCACACTGAAAGATGAGGATTATTAGCCCCACTTCATAGCTCAGGGAACTGGGGCTCAGATGGGAAAAATGACATATCCATGGCCACACAGCAGAGAGTGGGGAAGCCATGTTGGTGTGACTTAGCTCGGTTTGATTCCAAAGTCCTTGCTCTTAACTCTGAGTCACTGAACACAAGAGAGAAAGGGAAATGAGGGGAGAGGGGACAGAAATCCTTCAGAGCAAGAGAGAGAGACCAGAACCTGAGTGAAACACAGGGGCAGGACACAGAGGGACAAAAATTAGGAAAGGCACAGCTCAAACCCCAGTGCAAGACAGAGAGCTGGAGCAGGAGACCTCTGGGAGATGTGAGCTGAGGGACCCACTTGCCAGGGCAGAGGAGATGGAGCTAGGATGGAGGTAGGGCTTCTGAGCTTGCAGCTTGGATGGGGAATAACCCAAGACCTCAGGCCACCTCTCTCTGCAGGAAACTGTGAAACAGCGTGCCTAGATGGGCAGAAGGACAGCCTAAGCTTGACCTCTTAATTGGCCCTTTATCAATACTTAGGCCCCAGTCTAACCCCAGGTAGCAGCTTGTCACAAGAAGGGACTGTCAGAGGACCAGTTCTTGCAGAAACTGGGGGAGAGGGTGAGGGAGACCCAACTTCTGCCTTCTCAGCTCTGGGTCTGTAATCACCTAGGGGCTGACACTCATCAGAAGGTTCAGCTAGAAGTGGAATGCCTTCTTTCCCCACCCCCAACCCCAAGCCTGTGGAGCCTCCCACATCAGTAAGGTCTGGAAGAGAATGAGTCTAAGCCTCCATTCAGGGTCAGAGAGTGAGGGACAGAGTTTGAGGTAGGAATGAGGACAGGGGCCATGCACTCTAACCATTTTCAGTTTGGGGTTCAGATTCTAACTTGGAGGCCAAGTGTGAAGATACAGCCCCTAAAGTAAGCAGGGAGCTATTGGAAGGGGTCATTGAAAAGACATACTGCTGCTCACACACAAGATAGACCTGGGCAATTGGATCCCCATCACCCTCTCCCTTTCCTTGGAAGAAAAGCTGTGATCAACCCAGATAGCATATTAAAAAGCAGAGACATTACTTTGCCAACAAAGATCTGTCTAGTCAAAGCTATGGTTTTTCCAGTAGTCATGTAGGGATGTGAAGCTGAGTGCCAAAGAATTGATGCTTTTGAACTGTAGTGTTGGAGAAGACTCTTGAGAGTCCCTTGGACTGCAAGGAGATTAAACTAGTCAATAATCCTCAAGGAAATCAGTCCTGAATATTCATTGCAAAGACTGATACTGAAACTGACACTCCAGTACTTTGGCCACCTGATGCGAAAAACTGACTCATTGGAAACGACCCTGATGCTGGGAAAGATTGAAGGCAGGAGAAGGGGACGACAGAGGATGAGATGGTTGGATGGCATCAGTGACTCGATGGACATGCATTTGAGCAAGCTCCGGGAGTTGGTCATGGACAGGGAAGCCTGACGTGCTGCAGTCCATGGGGTCGTGAAGAGTTGGACACAACTGAGTGACTAAACTGAACTGAACTGAACTGAACGCTGCCTCCATTGTCCTTGAAGTGTATGATCTACCCACCATTCCCACAGTGAGAGGCATTTTCAAGGATGTAACCTTGAGAGTAATGTGTTATTGAGAATATCTGGATGGTATATGTGGCTGAACCCCATTAAGGCTTCTATATAAACTTTCAAAATGCTGGCAAGCAAGTGCAGAACAGAGATCTACTTGTCTGTGGCTGCCCAAGACAAGCCTTGTAAATAAGTTCCCTTGCTTACCAAAGCTGCCACCTACTGATCTGAGGTAGTCTGCCTCTTCCGTCTTTTCTCGTCCTCCATTTACAGGGGGTGGGGTGGGGGGTGCAGTTTATGAAACAACAGGAGCCAGGATCAAGACCTTGGGGTGGGTGGGCTCCCCTCAGTCATGAGGATGGAAGATCATGCCCGGAGCAAATAGACTGGGGTGAGTGAGTTCCTGGCAAATGTGCTGCTGTGTGGGACAACCCTACCCCTGCCCCAGGCTTCCATTATACCCAACCTTGGGGAGAGGCACCATTTCCATTGAACAAACATGAGTGGGGCTCTCTGAGTTGGCGACATGGCAGATCTGTACTCCCAACTTCCCTGCCTATGTCAGACATTGCTAATCAATCACAATCTCTGCTCAATCTGGACTAGGGCTCAGAATCCTCTGCCTCAGAAAACCTCAGCGCTTCAGACAACCTGTGCCAATTCCTCAGAGCTAGCATGTGAGATGCTAACCATTTGCCACCCTTGGCCCTGACATCCTGGAGTTTATCAAGCAGAGAGGGGCTGGGTAAAGACCACTTCACTGCTTTATTGGAAGGGGAATACACTCCGTCACAATGCAAGGCCCTGAGGCCAGCAAGATCTCGAGTTCGAGATGTAGCTGGTTGGCCGTGACTCTGTAGTAGCCCTTGATGAAACCCCGGGAAGTGCAGGAGTGGCACCTCCAGTAGGCCTGGATGATGCGGGCGGCACTGAGCAGACGGCAGTACCGCCGACGGATGCGCCACATGCGGACCCAGGACTGCAGCCTGACTGCTGCCCACTCCTTCCGTGTAAAGTTCTCCAGAGCTGCCCGCCGCCTGTTCTCCTGCAGCCGCATCAGCTTGACCCTCCACCAGCTCTGAATGATCCACACTCTGAGCGCCATGTGCAGTAGCGTCCTGCGCACCAGGGTGCCCCGCCACCAGGCCTGAATCTTTACTGCTTCTGGATCACTGACAGGACGCTTATTTTGGGTTTTTGTGACCTAACGAGAAAAAAAAAAGGAGACATTGAGAGGATATTCCCCACCCACTTCAGCCCCAGGATGTGCCACGAAGGGTCCCTGATACCCTATGAGCAATCACTCCTCCTCTGAACCTCAGGAGCACTGTGCAAGATGCTGGCTGGACCCACAGGCCAAGTAGGTGTCCTTTCTCGTTCCCCTCTGGTTAATGGGCATGGATACATCATATCGACCTCTGAATCTCAGAGCACCCATCTATAAAACGTGAGTATATGTGTCCTGGTTAGCCTGTATTTTTTAAAAATTAATTAATTTTAATTGGAGGCTAATTACTTTACAGTATTGCAGTGTTTTCTCATAGATTGACGTGAATCAGCCATGGGTGTACATGTGTTTACCATGCTGAACCCCCCTTCCACCTCCCTCCCCATCCCATCCCTCTGGGTCATCCCAGTGCACCAGCCCTGAGCACCCTGTCTCATGCATCGAACCTGGACTGGCTATCTGTTTCACACTTGATAATATACATGTTTCAATGCTATTCTCTCAAATCATCCTACCTCACCTTCTCTCACAGAGTCCAAAAGACTGTTCTTTACATCTGTGTCTCTTTTGCTGTCTCGCATATAGGGTCATCGTTACCATCTTTCTAAATTCCATACATATGCATTATTATACTGTATTGGCATTTTTCTTTCTGACTTGCTTCACTCTGTATAATAGGCTCCAGTTTCATCCACCTCATAAGAACTGATTCAAATGCATTGTTTTTAATGGTTGAGTAATATTCCATTGTGTGTTTGTACCACAGCTTTCTTATCCATTCGTCTGCTGATGGTCATCTAGGTTGCTTCCATGTCCTGGCTATTGTAAACAGTGCTGCGATGAACACTGGGGTACACATGACTCTTTCAATTATGGTTTCCTCGGTGTGTATAGCCAGCAGTGGGATTGCTGGGTCATATGGCAGTTCTATTTCCAGTTTTTTAAGGAATCTCCACACTGTTCTCCCTAGTGGCTGTACTGGTTTGCATTCCCACCAACAATGTAAGAGGGTTCCCTTTTCTCCACCCCCTCTCCAGCATTTATTGTTTGTAGATTTTTTGATAGCAACCATTCTGACTGGCATGAGATGGTACCTCATTGTGGTTTTGATTTGCATTTCTCTGATAATGAGTGATGTTTAGAATTTTTTCATGTGTTTGTTCTGGCTACCCAGTATTACATGGGTCAAGTTGGCCAACCTTAGGCCAGAATTCCATGATCAGAGTGTTATCAAAGTCCACCTGAGACTGCCCACCCTAACCAGGATCTATGACTCTTCCCTTCAGACCCCACATACCTACTGAAGAAATGGCTTCCTCTGCTATCCTGCCCTTTCATCCTTGGTTCCAGCTCCAATTCACAACCTGCTCTCTTCCTCTGCAATGTCATAGTGTTTAAAGTTTCCCCCATCCCATAAAATACTGCCTCTCATCTCTTCCTCATCTTCACTTCTCTTGACTTTCAAACTTTAAATGTTAATCAGCAAGCAAATATACATGCACACATGCTCAAACACACACACACACATACCATTGATTAAACCCAGCTTCTAAATAGAATATTGGCCATTCCATTCTACAAACACAACTCCCACATTTGCACTCCCAGCCCCATGTCATCTGGGTGAAGGGATCATACTGCTCGTGATCTCTTATCAGCATCATCCACTCCCTTTGTTGCTGCTTTGTTCTCTTATTTAGCCTTTTTTAAAAAATGGGAAAGGGGGACAGATAAGAAAGAGTTTATTCATGTTCTTGGCTCTGGAACATACCAAAGACACTAGCCACAATATTAGGACATAAAGCCCGAAGACATCCAAGTCAGGGCTCCTCTTACCTCTGCCTTCTTTGATGTCGGCGATGGTTTTGAGGGTACACTTTTCTCCATCAGCCCCTTCTTCTCCTGAGGCTCATTTTTAGTGTTTTCATCAACTGTCTTAGGCTGGTCTGTCTCCTGCAATCAGCAGATAGAGGAAAGGCAAGAGTGAGGCTGCTCTCCCTCTTTCTCCAGTAAGCAAGCCACACATCCCTAGTATACAGGGCTTCCCAGAGTAGTCAGAAGTTAGGGGGAGTTCTCTCACCCTGAGATTTGTGGGGACATCCCCAAAATGCCTAGTGTGTCAGTCTCTGTCTTACTCACCATTGGTTCCACATGGATTGGGTGTAGGTGTTTCAAATCCCCTCAGGTCTGTGTTCCTCTAGTCATGGCATGGGAGAAAAGAGTCAGGGTGGCAGACCTGTGATGTCATAAGGGCAGTTATGACTCAAGGACCAGCATGGCTCCCAAGAGTTAAGCCCCCTCCAAAGAGGAGGCAACAGTGCTATCCATTCTCTTCTGCTGGAAACGGCCAAAAGCAAGACACTGGAAAGAGTGGCCCATTGACATAAAGGTGTATAAAGATAGTCATTAGTGACATCCCCAGTTGGCATTGATCTAATGGTTTATAGTCCATTTATACTATAGCCTATAACATAACTGTTGAAAAATAATTAATTTTATCTATATGTGCTGATGAGAAAATGTATCCAAGATGTATTTGTAAGTGAAAAAAGCTGAACATCGTTATGATCCCATTAGATGAGATATAAAACCATCACTGGATGGGATGGTAAAAAACCATCAAGGTGTATAATTATACATATATGCTATCAATGCAGATAAAGAGGGAGAAAGGTATGTACACCAAACTGCTACCAATGATTACCTTAGGAGAGAAGAGTTGAATTGCTGACCCATTCATACAATACAGGAGAACTCGGTGAGGCCCCGAGGACCAGCAGACCTGCTTTCCTTCCCCCTCAGGCTCTGGGGCTGGAAGCATATTCAGGGGGTCGATCCCACTGACACACTCACAGACCCCTTCCTTTCTTCTCTTCTTTCCGCTCTTCCCTGAAGAGGTCTCCTTAGGACTTCTGCTAGAGGTGGAGAAGAATGGTAGAGAAGATGGGGGCTGGAGAAGGAAGCTCACCCCCATCACGCTGCCCCAGGCCCCGTTCTTGAACAGTGTTCCCCTTCTGCTCCTCGGCCCCTGGGGCAGCTCCTCCCTGCCCACTGGATTGAGTCTGAGTCAGTCCTGGTGGCATTCAAAGCACCAGTATCCTCCCTGCCCCTAGGGTCACCACATTCACCAGCACCCCATGCCCTGACCTCTCTCCTGACTGAGTCTCCCTCCACCCTGGGACTCAGCTCCTTTGTTTGCCGGGGCTCCATATGTGCAATCATGCCTCTGTCCTTAGAGTGCAGGGGCTTTAATTTCTCCCCTCACTCCTCAGATGCTCACGGATCCAGCTATGAGGAGCATGTGTTTAGTGACCATTCGTTTATCTCCTTTTATGAAGTATTGGTTTAAGTCTTTATTCCACTTTTATTGGGTTGTTTGTCTTCATTACTGAGTTGTAGAAGTTCTTATACTCTGGATATGAGGCCTTTGTCAGATACATGTATTGTAAATGTTCTTCTCCCCAGTCTGTGACTTTTTAAGTGCTCTCTTTTGATGAACAGATGGTTTTAATTTGGATGAAGTCTGGTTCTATCAATATTTTATACTGAGTGCTTTCTCTGCCCTAAGAAATCTTTGTCAACTCCAGGGTCACAAATTATTTCTCATGGGTTTTCTTCTAGAAGCTTTATATCAGCTTTGCTTTGGTTTTTGTTTAGGTCTATGATCCATCTTGAATTAATTTATTTTTGGCTATGATGTTAGATAGGAGTCAAGTTTTCTGTTCCATTGAAAAATACATTTCCTAAAAAAAAAAAAAGAAGGAAAAATACATTTCCTTTCTGCATTGACTTAGCTTGGTACATAAAAAAATCAATAGACTCTGTAAATGTGAGTCTATTTCTGGCTTCTCTATTCTCTATCATTGATCTGTTTGTCTCTTCTTACATTCTTTTTACCTGTCCTGATTACTGTAATTTTATAGTTTTTCAAGACAATAAGTCTTGAAATTAGATAATGTATCTCCTTCAACATTGCAATTTGGTATCAAGAATTTCACAACTTCTCATACAGTTGATTTCTGTATACCGTAACCCTCGAATCTTTCAATTTCAGGTATGCTTTTAATTTTTATTAACAGCTTTGTTAGAATGTATAAAAATGCAGATGCTATACAATTCATCCCCTTAAAGTACATGGCTCAGTGGTTTTAATTTTTTTAATGTTTCGGCTGCGTCGAGTCTTACTTATGGCACACGGGGACTCTGTTGTGGCGTGGGGGGCTTCTCTCTAGTTGTGCTCACCAGCTGGGTAGTTGTGTGTGGGCTCGGTTGCCCTGCTGCATGTGGGATCTTTGTTCCCTGACCAGGGATCAGACCTGCATCCCCTGATTGGAAGGTGGATTCTTCTTTTTTTTTTTAATGTTTCACATACTTACCACTGAGCAAACGGATCCCTAGTGAGGAAACGCCCACAGCCAAACATTCCATTTCTCCCATAAAATACTTGTGAGTTGTTCAGACAGTGGTGATGTTCTCATTGCCGTGATTCCCTTAAGATGCACGTGAACTTGACACAGCATAAATGTTTGCCACTTCATATGTGAGACTCCTTATATCTCCAGCTTGGATCTTCTCCTGCATCCTCTCTTGGAGCTTTGCCTGATTTTATTACCAGTTTTCATTCGAATCCACTAGGGAATGGGATGATTGTTTCTGTTTCCTGGCCAGAAATCGCCTGATCCTGCAAGTCTTGTGAGAAGACATAGCGAGGAGCAAATTCAACTGAACATAAGATAGGATGGCAGAGAAAAGACCGAAAGGCGGATTCTTAACCACTGGATCACCAGGGAAGTCTGTATTCGATGGTTTTTTAGTATATTCACAGATACATGCACACAATACCATGAGTATCTTGCATGTTTGCTAAATTTCCTTATTCCTGTATTTTTTTTGGGTGGGTAGACTAGGGGTGCCTGTAGGCCAGTTGGGGGATCTGGAGGTGAGGCATCCTCAGTGACATGGGCAGGCTTCCTGATGGAACCTGTGGTTAGTGGGATCTGTATCCTTTGATACGTTTTAAGCCCTACTCCCCACCCTTAGGTCAAGCTGGTCACATGTTTCAGGAATGAGAAACGCACACCTCAGTGACCCTGGGGCTGTGATCTGCGGAAGTCCCAGGGCCTCACAATGACCAGCTGGGTCTGCAGAAGACAGAAATAGGCAGAGCCAGGAAGGGCCCCACCTGGAATCTTTTGCCTGGTTCAGAGCTACAAACAGAACCAAGAGTTTCTACAGGGGCTCACCTGACCCTCACCTTGGTCTTGAGTCTGTCAGGGGTTGAAGACAGGAGAGCTCTTGAGCCCACTGGAGTGGGAGGTGGCAAGCACAGTGCAGCTCCCCTGAGTCACATGACTTCGTATTATAAAACAGAGCAGTGAGCTCACTGCCTGCTCAGCTTCTCTGCAACTGCTGGACACTGCAGACTAAAGTCTTGATCCTCTTCCTCGATCCTGCTTTCCCCACTTGGTCTTCCTCATCTTCATAAATGTCACCACTGCCTACTATGTTGCCACCTTCATCTCATTGCACAATCAACACATCAACAAGATCTGCTGACTTCTCCAAACACACCCCTAACAGCTGTCTCCCCGTTCCTGCCGCTGGGCCCTCTCACACCTCCATCACTCCTTACCTGATATTACTATAGCTTCTTAAGTGGCCACCCTTCTTCCTTCAAACCTCTACTAATTAATTCTCCACACAGCAGCAAGTTATTTTGTCTTTACTGCGAACCAGCTCATTTTACGTTTTTGCTTTCAACCCTCTCATGGCTTCCCATTGCCTGGAAGGAAGGGAGAGAGGGAGAATGGGAGGGAGAGCCCAACTACAGTCTCAGCTGACCAAGGCCAAGAATAGAAGCCATAGGAGAGATTATTTTCAGTTTAAATTCCAAGGGCATTTATTTTCGTTCTCCCTGGGAATGTGCTAATGGAAAAGGGGTTTGTGGATTAAGGGGCATCTCCGTATTACTTGCAATATTGTTCAGGAGGTGTGTATCCCATCATTGAGCTTAATTTAAGGTGGGGACATAGGGAGTGAATTCTAGTAACATCCTCTGACCCATAACAAGATTTTCAGGGATTTGGTCTGAACCTGACCCTTCAGGCCCCAAGAGAATGAAAGGAGCAGCTCTGTCCAAGGGCGAGGCCTGGGGGGACTGGGGTGGCGGGGGCGGGGGGGTCACTGCCGCTTGAGAACCACAGGCTCAGCTGTTGGACTCAAGGCATGAAAGCAAAGGTATGGGCAGAATCCTTAACATTCTCTTTCCACCGATTTTCCACTGAGGAGAGGAGGCTTCACTGCACTGCTCTCTCTCCAGTCAAGCCTCTCCATCTCCTCTTTACTCCACCCCACAGCAGGAGCTGAATTATCCAGTGAAATCAGGAGAATGAACATTCCTTTGACATGCTTACCTGGCAGGGGCATTGCTCACAGGAGTCATGCAGCCTGGCTGTCATTGGGACCAAGGGCAGAGCTATTCCCACCTCTGACCCTTGCCCCCAAGCAGTGAGCAATGCAGGGTCCCACCTCCACCCCGACTCCCACCCCAAGGGCAGTCTGGCTCCTAAAGCTTCCTGACCTGACCTGGGTGGGGCAGATCAGACTGACTTGTAGGAATATGTCCATGATGATCTGTTGGGACAACAGTTTCTTTTAATTTTTATTTATTTATTTTCGGCCGTGCCGAGTCTTCGTTACTGTGTGGGCTTTTCTAGTTGTGCCAAGCAGGGACTACCCTCTAGTTGCGGAGCTCAGGCTCTTCATTGCATTGGCTTCTCTCGTTGTGGAGCACAGGCTCTTGGGTGAGCAGGCTTCAGTAGTTGCGGTTCCCAGACTCGAGAGCACAGGCTCAATAGCTGTGGTGCACAAGCTGGAGAAGGAAATGGCAACCTACTCCAATATTCTTGCCTGGAGAATCCCATGGACAGAGGAGCCTGGCAGGCCATGGTCCACAGGGTCGCAGAGTCGGACACAACTGAAGCGACTAAGCATGCAAGCATGCACAGGCTTAGCTGCCCTGCAGCATGTGGGATCTTCTCAGACCAGGGATTGAACCCATCTCTTGCAACTGGCAGCGGAATCTTTACCACTGAGCCACCAGGGAAGCCCCCTAATTGTCTTCTTTTCAGTCCTCAGACCCC